TCTCTTTCGTGCTCAGCCAGAATTTATATCAAGCCACGCAACTCCTTAAGTGACGCGCTCAGCGCGCTATGGTACGCGCTGGACGCATGATGTAGAGCGCTTGGCGCGAGGTTGGGCACGCTCAGCGCGATTTCAATCTTCCCAACACTCCTGGCTCCAATGCGCTGAGCGAGATAGAATATGGGCTCAGCGCGGGTCTTATGAAAATGCCAGCTAGCTTCACTGGAGTTCAATCAAGCTTCTTCTCTTTGACACGGCTTCTTCCCACCTGATTACCTATCCAAAAAGTCACAAAAAATGAGGATTAAATCTGTATAACCCTGTATGTGTAACCAAAGTGTCTTTACTTACAAAAGAGAAGTTAAATTGAGGATTACATAAGTCAAAAGTTAGAAAAGAGTTGAATGTGTTAACAAATTTGGTACTAGAATGTAAGTAAAAATTAACATTATCAACTCCCCCAAACTTAGAACTTTGCTTGTCCTCAAGCAAAAGGTAACTTGTTAGTACAAAAAAAATCACTTCATCAACAAAGACAGACTACTTGAGAATGTGGTGCAATTCACTCAAAAATCAGATATGTAAGCTTCCTCTCAAACTTAGTCTCTTGAAGAAAATGAAATTCCCTGTCAAACATCCAATATGGTGCTCACAATGCAAGAATGCCAAGGATGCACTTAATTGCTTTACAAAAGACTAACCACCATGGCCAAATAGATGTATTGATCGGCCCACAAATTCAACCTCACTAGGAAAGGTGTTTCACTCAAGCACATTAGTGTTTAGGGAATGTGTTTGTCTCTCTACCAACTCTAATGCCACCCAATTTAACTTTGCTTTTCGTTTCAACAAGTTCAAGAGACTATATTAGCATGCATACATCACAAGGATTCTCTTGGGGTTGTGCAGGGGATTTGGCTAAGGGAAAAATTCAGGTTCTTTGGGTATAAACAATTGTATTGGGTTAGGAGAACAAATGAATGATTCACTCCCTTCCTTTCCAATGAATAATTCTAGCCATCAATGTATAACTCTGAAATTCCTTTGGTTTCTGTTTTTGTTTTTGTTTTTGTTTTGTTTTTTGTTTTTTGTTTTTTTGTTTTTTTTTTTTGTTTTTTTTTGTTTTTTTGTTTTTTGTTTTTTTTGAATGAAGAAGATATAATGAACCAGAATTTTCTCCTTTTTCTCCAAGCTTACATGAAAGTGACTTCCTCCAAACTTGAATTGCATCCCAATGATCATACCATTTGCTCTTAAGCTCAACATAGGGTGTTAAAGTAGTTTCATCATAAGGCTCAAGATTATAAGAAGGCTAGTATTATATAGGCTCAAAGGAGGTCTACAATGATTGATATTTTCAATAGGGTTGGCTTTTTCTTGGCTTAACAAACTATGGACAAAGGTAATATGATTTTGATCATCTATACACATGCAAACAAAGCTCCCAACATAGAAATTCAAGCAAAGTCAATTGAATGTCAAAAGAACGGTTCTCACAAGAATAACTCTGAAGCTCTTAATCTCACTCGGTTCAATTTATGTAATTCACAGGCTGTCCTTCTTTGCCACAGTCCTTAATCACAAGTAAAACAAGCACTTACAACCATGCCATTCAAAACATAAGCACAACCACAATTATCAGTTCAGCAGAAAAATGCCATTCACTCAAAAGATGTCAGAATTTGAAGCAGCAATAACACAACTGATTCAACATGAAATGCAACACCAATCTCAAGTAAACTGTCAAAGTATCCAAAGTAACTAATATAGAAGAAAATATGGTGCAAGCAAAAAATTAAAGTGTACTGGCAATAAAAAGAGAAATAAACAAGAACAAAAGGTGAGCAAGCCATCCCCAAAATATGTGGCTGCTCCTCTCCACAAATGCCTCAATCATCAGACAGGCGCCGACCCAGAAGACCCCGCGGCCTCATCATCAATCATGGCATCAACAGCTGCAATATCAGACGCAGTAGGGATTTCTTCGTCAACTCCAGCGTCCATTCCTGAAGAATCAAATGTACTCAAGGGCTGTACTCTGATGGCTTCCTCAGAACTCTGAAGCTCTGGATCCACAGTGGCAGTAGGAATAAGATCTCTGGTAGCCTCTCTCTCAACCTCCACATCAGGCTGCACCTCTGGCTCTACATCAACGACAGCTGCTCCATCTCCAGCATCAGCTGCTGGCTCTCCTCCTCCCCCTCCAGAAATAGCCTGGACCCCAGGCCAAGTAGTGGCAGTGTGAAACTCCTCCATAGAGTAGGGGAAGTGCAGATCAGGAGCGGTAACAGCAGCATGGGCCCGAATAGTATCCATAATCATCTGCTGTGCCCGAAAAATCATCTGCATAGCTGTATCAAAAACAACAGGACTAATCACTGTTGCCTGCTGTAATGGGGCCTCAGGAACCTGGTGCTGAGGAGGAGGTATCTCGGGGGCCTGTGGAGCCTGGGGCTGAGGAAGAGGTATCTCAGGTGCCTCTACTTGTGGTGGGACCTCTGGTGCAGCAGCTGGGGCCTCCCCTTCATGAATAGGAGGAGACAACTGACAATGAGCGCTAACATATCTAGCATCGATCAACTGACGCGGCCGCTCAAATGGCCCCACAGATGTGTCAACCCCTGCTCTCCTGCATAAGTGGGTAATCAGTGAAGGGTGCCCTAATTTGGCATTGCCAATGGTCGAATCAGCACAACTCTGAATTTCCTCCGCAATGAGGGTTCCCACATCTATCCTCTTCCCAGTGAGGATGCTAAACAGAATATATGATCGGTTAAGGTAGATGTCAGACGCATGATCAACTGGGGCCAAGTTGGAGTGAATCAGAGTCATCCAAATCTTGGCCACTGGCAGGAGGTTAGGCCTCTTGATGTGTAATGGTAGGCCCTGAGTACTCCTGTGAAATCTGCCCCCCTCCCTGCACATTGCCTCCTCAATCTGGGTGTGCCTAATATCAGTGGGCATCGGCGTATTCAAGAATTGAGAGTACTCACAACGCTGTCCCGGCTCAAGAGTAGTGCGGAGAAACTCATTGATTGTGGTGGGGGAAAAGGAAATTGTATGACCCCTCACATAGCTAGTGTAAGTGGTTGGGGCGTCCTCATCAATGGTTACGGCATTTGCATAGAATTCCCGCACAATAGCAATGTTAGCCGGTTCAGGATAAGAGCCTATCCTTTCCCACCTTCTCCTGGTGTACTCAACTACAAACTCTGAAGCCTCCCCTGGCTTGAGAGATACCCTCCTTTCCATCAAAAATTTCCTTCGCTCCATGGAAGAAAATTGTTTCTCATGTTGCTTAGTGAGAAAACGATCAGAGTACGCCCGCTCCTTTCTCTTAGAGGGTCTGCTGCTTTGACCTTCAGTGGGATGCCTTTGCTTCTTGGTTGTCATCCTACAAATAAAAGTAGATAAAAACCAAAGTGTGGAGAATAATACAAAAAATAATTAAGCAAAATGGGTGATCGCGCTGAGCGCGTTTAAAGGCGCGCTGAGCCCAAAAGGCAAACTGCCTCCCTGCCAGACTCGCGCTGGACGCACAAAGCAGCGCGCTTAGCGCCCAAGGTAATTAAAATTCTCTGCCTGAAGCACGCTTAGTGCACAAGCCAGGGCGCTTAGCGCAAAAGGAAAAAATATATCTCTGTCAAGCTCACGCTGCGCGCACAGGCAAGCGCGCTTTGCGCGTAAACAAACACCAAAATACACAAAAATTAAGGCGCTGAGCGCTCTGGGAAGCGCGCTGAGCGCTCTGCAAGTTATCTTCCTAAACAAGATGACGACGCGCTGAGCGCGTACTCATCCCGCTCAGCGCGCTGCTAACTTTCATGACAAAAAAATGGAAACAGAGCAACAAGTAGACAATGGAGACTACTCGAGTGGGCAAACACTAATCGCCCCATGCAAATAAAACGAAAAACAACAACAAAGAAGGGAATGTGCAGAAAAACGAAAATCGACAGCAAACGTAAACAAGAAGTAGTGGAGAAACCTTACTTGATAGGGTGGATTGAGAGCACGAATGCGTTATGTAGGCTGAGAAAGAGGAAAAAGTAGTGTAGAAAGGAGTAGGGTTTTCGGGCAAGAGTGAATGAGAGGAATGAGAGGAGAGGAGAAGAATATGCAAATGAGAAGCTTTCCTTCTGGCGCCCATTCAAATCCTTAAGTTACGCGCACAGCGCAATAGGTAGCGCGCGTAGCGCGAGTTGTGACTTTCAAAATTCTACGTTTAAACGGGGGCGCGCTGAGCGAGAAAGATGACGCGCTTAGCGCATCGAGACTTTTAAACTTCCTATTAAAAAGGCGCGCTGGGCTAGGCGAGCAAGGATACACGTTGCGCGCGTGCTTGGCAGAGACTTGTGCCCCCAAACTTGACGAATTGCGCTCAGCGCGCTTAAACACGCGCTTAGCGCCTTGCAGACAGAGATTCATTCACTTAAACTCGCTAAGCACACTCCTCTACGCGCTGGACTCATTTTTATGATGTGATCACTGGAAGTGGCGCGCTTAGCGGGATAGATGTTGCGCTGAGCGCGTCCTTGGCAGAAAATTTTGGTAAAAAGGTTTACCAATTGCGCTACGCGAGCAAGGCGGCGCGCTTGGCGCCTTGGAGACAGAGGCTCCTCACTTGAATTCGCTGAGCGCGCTCAGTTTCGCGCTTAGCGCGAAGAAAACAATGAGCTCTAGTGGTGTCCACGCTGGGCGCGGTAACCTGCACGCTGAGCGCGAGTTGTGGTTTAGCCCAATTTCCCTATGTCCCCAACTTGAGTTTCTCCTCCTTTCCCCTTGCAAAAATGTGAATCCTACTCTCAAAACTACCTATAACTAGTTTCTCATTCTAACTAACATCTACCATCCTAGCGACGCAAAACACTAGTCAAAACATAAACAGACATGCAATTAGAAAAAAAAAAAGACTTAAACACATAAAAGTTCAGATCATCTGGACTGCCTTCCAGGAAGCGCTTGTTTAACGTCACTAGCTTGACGACCTTTTTGGTGCACTACGGGTCACTAAGCTCAAGCTTAGCAATCAGCCTTTCAAAATCTCCACCAAGATATGGCTTCAATCGCTGCCCATTAACCATCCAACTTCTTTTGGAAGCAGGGTCTTCAATTTCAACTGCTCCATAAGGCTTAACCTCCTTGATAACAAAGGGTCCGGACCACTTCGATCGAAGTTTTCCAGGGAACAATTTCAACCTGGAGTTAAACAATAACACAGATTGGCCTGGTCGGAAATTCCTCTTCAAGATTTTCTTATCATGATAAGTCTTCACCCGTTCTTTGTACTGCCTTGAGGATTGATACGCATTGAGTCTCATTTCCTCTAATTCATGAAGTTGTGACTTTCTCTTCTCCCCACAAGCCTTCAGGTCAAAATTTAGCAGTTTCAATGCCCAGAAAGCTTTGTGTTCCAGCTCCACCGGGAGGTGACATGCCTTTCCATACACCAACTGGAATGGTGATAAAGATGTTGGTGTCTTGAATGCTGTTCTATATGCCCATAAAGCCTCGTCAAGTTTGCTAGCCCAATCTTTTCTAGAAATGGCAACTGTCTTTTCCAGAATTCTCTTGATTTCTCTGTTAGACACTTCTGCTTGCCCATTAGTCTGAGGGTGGTAAGTTGTTGCTACTTTATGTCTCACCCCATAATGTTCTAAGGCCTTCTTGAGCTGAGCATTGCAAAAATGATATCCTCCATCACTGATCAAAACTCTGGGCATACCAAACCTGCAGAAAATATTCTTCTTAAGGAATCTGATCACTGTTTTAGCGTCTGGTTTTTGTGTTGGAATAGCCTGTACCCATCTAGATACATATTCGACTGCCAGAAGGATGTACTCATTAGAAAATGAAGATGGTAAAGGGCCTATAAAGTCAATCCCCCAACAATCAAAGACTTCTACTTCTTGAATGTTCTGCAATGGCATCTCATGTCTCTTGGAGATAGTTCCACTCTGTTGACAGCGATCACATCTCTGGACATATTCATAGGCATCCTTGAATAAGGTAGGCCAAAAGAACCCAGACTGGAGGACCTTAGCTGCTGTCCTTTCCCCATTAAAATGGCCTCCGTAGGGTGAGTTGTGGCTATGCCATAGAATGTCTTTGGCCTCCTCTTTTGTAACACACCGTCTCAACAGATTTTCGGCCCCAATTTTGAACAAATGAGGATCATCCCACACATACAACTTGGCATCATTAAGCATTTTTTTTCTTTGGTGCCAATTGAGATCCTCAAGGATGACTCCAGCAGCTTTAAAATTAGCCATGTCGGCAAACCATGGCCTTTCCTGGATTGACAAAAGTTTTTCATCCGGGAATTCTTCTGATAACTCTGGTTCTAGTGTAGTTACCTCATTGTTCACTAGTCGGGAGAGATGGTCTGCTACATTGTTTTCACAACCTTTCTTGTCCTTGATTTCTAAATCGAACTCCTGCAACAACAGTATCCACCTTATTAGCCTAGGTTTGGAGTCAGACTTAGTTAACAAGTATTTAATTGCAGCATGATCAGTGAAAATAATGATTTTTGAACCAATCAGATATGCTCTGAATTTTTCCAGTGCATACACTATGGCAAGAAGTTCTTTTTCAGTTGTAGCATAATTAGCTTGAGTGTCATTTAGAACTTTGCTTGCATAGTGTATCACATGGAAAACTTTCTCTTTTCTTTGACCTAGCACTGCTCCTATAGCATAATCACTGGCATCACACATAAGTTCAAAACCAAATTTCCAGTTAGGAGCAGTGATCACTGGTGCAGAAATGAGTTTGTTTTCAAGGTCTCAAAAGTAGATGAACAGTTTGCATCAAATTTAAACGGGGTATCCTTATTTAGCAAGTTGCTCAATGGTTTTGCAATCTTGGAGAAGTCCTTGATGAATCTCCTGTAGAACCCAACATGTCCTAAGAAGCTTCTGATTCCTTTAACGTTGACTGGTGGAGGTAGTTTCTCAATGACTTCAATTTTTGCTTTATCTACCTCAATCCCCCTGCAAGAAATCTTGTGGCCTAACACAATGCCTTCGGTCACCATGAAGTGACATTTCTCCCAATTGAGCACCAAATTAGTTTCCACACACCGCTTCAGTACGGTGTCTAAATTGTCCAAGCAAGTATCAAAAGAAGACCCAAAAACTGAGAAGTCATCCATGAAAACTTCAATGCATTTTTCCACCAAGTCAGAGAAGATAGCAAGCATGCACCGTTGAAACGTAGCTGGAGCATTACACAACCCAAATGGCATTTTCCTGTAAGCAAAAACACCAAAAGGGCATGTGAAGGCTGTTTTCTCTTGATCTTCTAGATCCACTGCAATCTGATTATAACCTGAACATCCGTCCAGAAAACAATAGTATGCTTGTCCCGCTAACTGTTCCAACATTTGATCCATGAAGGGCAAAGGGAAGTGATCTTTTCTTGTGGCCTTGTTCAATTTTCTGTAATCTATACACATCCTCCAACCTGTGACAGTTCTTGTGGGGATCAATTCATTCTTCTCATTGTGGATTACAGTCATTCCACCCTTCTTGGGCACTACTTGCACTGGACTGACCCACGCACTGTCTGAGATTGGATAGATCATCCCTGCCTCCAAAAATTTTTGAACCTCCTTCTTTACAACTTCTTTCATGGTTGGGTTCAAACGCCTCTGAGGTTGAGCCACAGGCCTATAGTCTTGCTCCATGTGAATTTTGTGCATGCAATAAGAGGGACTAATGCTAATGCCTTTCAAATCAGATAATGTCCAACCTATAGCTTCTCGGTTCAGCTGTAGCACCTCAATCAACCTCTTCTCCTCATTGTCAGAAAGGGAGCTACTGATGATGACTGGCTTGTTGTTACCCTCTTCAAGAAAAACATATTTAAGATGTGAAGGCAAAACTTTCAATTCTAACTTTTGCTCTTCAGACCTCAAACTCTCATGCAATTCTTCAAATTTTATATTTCTTTCAAGAACATCTTTGGTTGAGTTCAAGTTCCTTAAGCAAGCCTCAATTTCTTTCTCTTCTTCATCATTTAAGAACTCAGAAGCTTCAATGAGGGCTTTCTCCAAAGAGCTTTGACTATGCATTTGACTTGAAGCGGCAAAGATCACATCATCAAGTATATCCACCCTCATACAATCATTTTTATCATTGGGATATTGCATGGCTTCAAAGACATTGAAATTCACTTCCTCATCTTGGACTCTCACTTTTAATTTTCCATCATCCACATCAATAATAACCTTGGCGCTTTTCATGAAAGGCCTACCAAGTATTAGAGGCACCTCTATGTCCTCTTCCATGTCCATCACCACAAAATCCACCGGGAACATGAAATTGTCCACCTTGACCAAAACATCCTCCACCACTCCATGAGGATACTTAATTGATCTGTTAGCCAACTGTAATGTCATCCGAGTAGGTCTAGCTTCCAAATCTCCTATTCTTCTCATCATAGACAAGGGCATCAAGTTAATGCTTGCCCCTAAGTCCAATAATGCCTTACCCACAGGTAGAGTACCTATGGTTACAGGGATTGTGAAACTGCCTGGATCTTTATATTTCTGAGGTAGGGACTTCTGAATGATTGCACTACAACCGGCCTCCAACTCAATAGTTTCTTCTTCAATGAATCTCCTTTTCTTTGATAATAACTCCTTCATAAATTTAGCATAAGTTGGCATTTGCTCTAAGGCTTCTGAAAAAGGAATATTGATCTGCAACCTCTTGAAAATGTCTAGAAACCTTGCAAATTGTCTCTCTTTGTCTTTTCTTGAAGGAGCATGTGGGTATGGAAGATTCTTTGTAGGTGGTGCCTTTCCAACTTCCTTCTCAATCTTTTTTTTCTTTTTCTCAATCTCTCCACTCACTCTTTTATTCTCCACCTCCTCCACTACACTTTCATCTTTGTCTTCTGCTTCGCTATTGTCTTTCATCACCTTTTTCTCTTTATCACTTGGATTACTCTCCCCAAATGTCTTCCCACTTCTTGTAGCCACTACCTTACAATGCTCCTTGGAATTTGTTTGTGTATTAGCGGAGAACGATCCACTCTTCTGGTCCGCTAACTGCTTGGCCAATTGTCCCACTTGCACCTCCAAATTTTTAATTGAAGCATCTGTATTCTTTTGATTTTGGAGGGATAATTGCATGAATTGCTGCAAGGTATCTTCTAGCTTGGTAGTTCTTTCATACAATGGTGGGTGTTGTTGCTGTGGAGGGTGAAGTCTACTACTTGATGCACCCATGTCTTGTTTCCCTCCAAATTGAGCATTATTGTTTCTCCACCCTTGGTTGTAAGAGCTAGGATAAGGATTGTTAGGAAAATTTTGGCGTCCTTGGTTCCCCATATAATTGACTTCTTCCCCTTGGGAGCCACTAGGAACTTGACAATAGCCATTGGAATGATCACCTCCACAAAAATCACACCGCATAACTTGTTGAGTTTGGCAAGGATTGGCATGCATGGCTTGGAGTTGTTGAGGTAATTTAGCCATTTGTTGGTTGAGAGATTCGATTTGTTGAGTAAGAAGCTTATGTTGAGCTAAGAGGGCGTCTTGAGTACTCAATTCTAATACTCCCCTCCTTTGTGCTTGACCCCTCCCATGTTGGCTTCGCAAGTCAGTAGATGCCATAGATTCAATAATTGTGATAGCTTCATCGGCAGTCTTGAACAAAACAGAGCCACCAAAAGAAGCATCCAAAATCATTTTTGTTTGTGGTTGTAAACCATTGCAAAAAGTCTGAACTTGCATCTCTATATCAAAACCATGATTGGGACACTTCCTAAGCAAAGCTTTATATCTCTCCCATGCCTCACACAAGGGTTCATCAACTCCTTGCACAAATGTAACAATAGCGGCCTTGGCTTCTGTATTCTTGGATGGTGGGAAGAAACGAGCTAGAAATTTTGTCTCCACATCCCTCCAACTGGTTAGACTTTGGTTAGGCTGTGATTGGAGCCAAGCCTTGGCCTTCCCAGTGAGAGAATGGAAATAACCTCATGAACAAAGCCTCCTCGTCATCTCCAGAAATTCCAACTGAGCTACACAACTCATAGAAGGTGTACAAATGAGTATGTGGGTCTTCATGATCTAACCCAGCGAACTGATGAGAGCTTATAAGTTGCAAAAGGGCTGGCTTCATTTCAGCAATCTTCTCATTCATAGCAGGCCTCACCATGCTAGAGAAATTTCGGGGGCTGGTGTAGAGAATAGAATCCCCAATAGTTCTCCTTGGAGGTTGATTGTACTGCTACTGCGTGTATTTGTCAAGAAGCTGCAAGATACCAATAATGTTAACTGGATTCTGAGACCAAAGATTATGAATTTAAAACTGTAATTTTCGTTAAGAAATTATTATTAGTATACACTCTTCTCAGCTTAATTTTTCTAGTACGATTTAGCGTTGATTTCTAATAAAAAATATTTCTTGATTTCTTATATAAAATAAAAGAGAAACAAAGGCTACGCATCTTACATGTCATCTGTTCTTACCGGAATTTGGCCGTAGGGATGGTCTGCCCAGTAAGATCAGTGAGCCTTCTTTGCTTGATGTGTTTGTTGGTGCTCCAAGATGGGGGAGGTACCTGCAAAAGAGACTCCGATGCCAAAGTTAGGGTTTGTATGAGTATGAGTCTCGTATATATAATGCACATACCTTTGTGTGAATTAGGGTTGTCTTGGGCCTGAGATAAGATATGATATGATACGATATCATATAATATGATACGATCACGTTGTGACATAATATGGTATAATTGGAGAACGGTTTTGGCCTGGGACGAGATCTCCGGGCTCGGGCGTGATCTGTTCGGATTCTGGGCTGACATTGTTCAACGCGTGCTCGGGATGACCCTTATAATGTCAACCCGGGCTGAGAGCCCGGGTGCGAAATGCGGTTAGTACACTAGCCCCCCGAGCTCCGAAGGCCGTAGGCCGAAGAGTTAAGGTCGGGCTCGTGAGAGGAGAGGTGGCTTTGCGCGTACGCTAGCTGGAGGCTCGCCACGTGTCGCGACTGTTCATGCTCTAGAGACGTTTCATTGACGTATTGGGGGCAGTGACGGTTTTTTAATGATGGTTTTGTAATAACTGTGTCATCGGGTGTGCCTTTCAACTGACACGTGTCGCGTCGGTTTTGAATTTCGGGGAGAGTTTTAGCCTTTCTCTCTTCTCGCGCCTCTTCCCTGTCTTTCTTCTGACTTCTCGAGTACGAGAGCTTTTCTTGGTTCCCTTTACCTCATTTCTCTTTTGCGCTTCCGTCGCCGTCGTCGTTTCCGGTAGTCCCTTCTTTGGTAGGGTTGTTTTCTGAGGAGGAGTACCAGGTACTTCCTTTTTATTTGCTTCTTCTCTTTTTTCATGGCCGGTGGAAGTGGTGTCGGATCCTCTGCGTCTGCCAGGGGCAAGGCGCGTGGCAAGGTGGTGGCCGCCGGAAGGGTCACTATTGAGAAGAAAGATTCGCCGCCACCTAGGGGCCCAGAGTCGGGCGTTCCTGGTTACGACTGGGTCAAACGCGCAAAAATAGAATATTGATGTTGTTGATGTCTATATGGTGATGCTCATATAAATATAGCTTGTTTTGGAGTTTAAATAGGATAAACAAAAAAATATTTGACTTTATTTGGTGCAGGAGAAATATAACCAACGTTTAAATGAGGTCAAGCAACAAGCCATACATGAAGGCACACAGGGCTCTGCTTCTACCTCTATCAGTGATAATGAAGTTTATTTGCAAGTTGTTAAGAAGAATGTGAAGGGAAACTTGTATGGGCTTGCTGGATTGGGTGATGACTTCATTCGCTCCACACATCCCTAGTCTTCTGTCATAATCATCACCAGTCACTGCAGATTTGGTCACATAAGCCAGGTGACCAATACTATAGCGACGAGTTTTTTTTGTATAGCAACAAATATTTTCAATCGTTAATTGATAATGTTAATTTTTACTTACATTCTAGTACCAAATTTGTTAACACATTCAACTCTTTTCTAACTTTTGACTTATGTAATCCTCAATTTAACTTCTCTTTTGTAAGTAAAGACACTTTGGTTACACATACAGGGTTATACATATTTAATCCTCATTTTTTGTGATTTTTTGTATGTTACGTTAAGGCGTTACATTCGTCAAAAAAGTATTAAATGAAAAGATTGGTTATAAAATAATGAAAGATAAAATTCAAAACATAAAAAACAGTCGATACTTTTTATATTTAGCAAGAGGATTCAGAAAATGATATAGAACTCGTACAAAACGTTGTAGAAAAAGATTTAGAATTATTCAAATTTTTGGTAGTGAAGTTTCTTTTTAGTTAAAATATTTTTTAAATTTTTATAATTTTACTTATTTCATTTTTTAGTTTTTATAATTTAAAAAATATATTTTTAAGTCTTTAAATTTATCTTTTTCAATTATTTTTAGTCCTTGTTTAAGATAATTTTTTTCTAATTCTTATACTCTCAGTTTATTAATTTATATAGTTTCACTTATTTTATTTTTTAGTCTCTATAATTTAAAATAGACTTTTTTAGTTTATATATTTATCTTTTTCAATCATTTTTAATCTCTATAGTTTAAAATAATTTTCTTTAGTTTGTATACTTGCAGTATTTTTTAATTCTTTTAATCTTTATTATTATTATTATTATTTTTAACTTTGTATGTTTCATATTAATGGGATATCTTTAATTTTGTAAGTGTTAAAAAAATGGTGTTTCAACAATAGGCATCTCAAGGGTATTAAAGAAACATAAAATGGCAAAATATCTAATTTAGAACAATTTTAACCAAATAAATTTGACACTAGACACACAAAATTAAATTAATACATCTATCATGTCAATATAAAAGAAAGAACATTACAAATAAGTTAACAACATAGACTAAAAAGACTAAAATTTTGTAAGTATAAATATTAAATAGATATATATTAAACTATAAGGATTAAAAATGATTTTAAAAAATAAGTATAAAAACTAAAAATATTTATTTTAAAAGATGTATTATTTTGTATGCTTACATTTAACAATCATTGTTGAAACACCATTCTTTTTACTCTTACAACATTAAAGGGTATCACATTAACATAAAACCAAAAAAGTTACAAAAATAAATTAAAAATAAAGACTAAAAATATTTTAAAAAAAAACTACAAGAATAGAGAATAAAAAGATTTAACTTAAGTTATAGGAACTAAAATATATTTTTAAAAAATATGTATAAAAACTAAAAATGTCTATTTTAACTATGAGACTTAAAAAGTAAAGTAAGTGAATTACAAGTATTAAAAAATTATAAGTATAGAGAATAAAAAGACCTATCTTAAACTCTAAGGATTAAAAATAATTGAAAAAAAAAGTATGAAAACTAAAATATTTATTTTGAATTATTGAGATTAAAAAGTAAAATAAGAAAAATTATAATTTTTTTTAAAAAGTATTTTAACTTTTTTTTATGATACTTTAATATTTATCATGAATGCCTCAACATCCTATTGAAAAACTCAACCCATTCTGAACCACATGTGATTGTATCAAACTAATCATATGTTGCAGAAAGCGTTCACGTTACATATGTTACACGATGAGTAAATTTTTTTACCAATCAACATGATTCTGATTCACGTGCATAGTATTTGAAAATTGACAATTAATTATAAATTTATATTCATTAACATGATTTTTGTAATTTATATATATTCATTAACATAATTTTTTGTTGACTCCATAAAGCTTAGCATGTTTCTTAATAAAAGTGGATGAGGAATAGGGGTGGGGGTGCCTTCCATGCTCATGTTTTCAAGTACAACATCCTTATAATTCTCTCCGACAAAGGAAGGAATGATAGTATGGCCACGAGTGGGTGGGGCTTGTGAGAAGAGATTCAATGATCAAGGAAAACGAAAATACCTAAAGGCCATACGGCCCATACATGCAAATACATATATGAGGTGGCGATGGAGAAATTATTAGATAATTAGAATCACAAAAAGTTAATGTCTTGATCAATCATTATTTTATATTAGTAAGGGAATATTTATTTTTAAAAGGATTTGGGAAAAAAATGGTTACAATAAAAAATATTAATTAAGATTTAAAAGTAGTCTATACGTGAGAGTGAGTGGTAGTTTTTTTTTACTTGATTTAAAATTATAAAGTGTGTGGAAGGATAAAAATATCTATGAAAATTAAAAAGTAGTTACTAAAATATGTATCTTATTCATTTATAATATTCATTTAAGATTATTTTATACAAATAATAAATATAATAAATTTCTCTATTTTTCATAAAATGATTTTAATATTTTCTATTATATTCTTTCATTTTTGCGTCATAATAAATATATATTAGTTATCATGTGTAAATTAATTAAAAATTAGATAAGATTTAAAGATATATTAATAACATAGCAATTAATAATATCTTGTGTGAAAATGACAAGTAAATAGAAACAAAATTTTACTAAAAACCTGATAGACAAAAAGAAATAGAATGAGTAATACTTATCTTCTTCTTTTTTTGAAAACTAATTAGAGTATATATTCTTTAAAAAAAATTATAATTCATGCATTTTACTAAATTAAAAAAATATATGCTTTAATTAAAGTTATTTTAATTAATATATCAAACAATATAAATTCGTTCTTATATATATAAAAAAATAGTGGTAGGATTATGTAGAAACCAATTAGAATCTATATCATTCTAAATAATTTCTCCCGACAATGCGGCTCTGAACACACTAGCTCCCTTTGGACCAATGGTGGCTGCCTATGTGTGTTCACTACTTGTCACTGCCAAACTCTTGTTGCCTCCTATTTTTTCTAATGAGTTGCAAGAATTATTATTATTATTATTATTATTATTTATTATTTTATGTTTATTTATGTTATATTAGGCCCCGCAAGCCTGTAACAGGGCTACTCGGGGCAAATTCAACAGTTATTTTCACTCCTTATTTTGATTTATCCAAAGTTATAATTGTAACATGACCTGTGAAGTAAAGTTTCAAAAGAAACTTAATTGCATAATTCTAGAGTAATGATGAAAGGGTGCAACTAATTAAAAAGTTCAATGAGATGTAAAAAACATAAATATCATGAATGTACAACAAATTAACTTTAAATGTTTTTATTAAAAAAAATTAAATGTAAATGCATAAATCAAAAGAAAGCAAATTGCAA